AATACATTCCTTCTTTTCCACCCATGAGCCCCAAACACAGATTGTCAGAAAAAAAAAAAAAAAAAAAAAAAAAAAAAACAGAAACAAACCCGCGCACCAAGAGATGAAACGAACATACCCGGATGTAGCCCCTGCAACGGCCTAAATGTTTTCCTCTTGCTTGTTTCGATGATCAACCCTCACCCATTGCCGTGCATCTTTTAGTCAACCATCTACTTGTGAGGCTCCGAGCCGCTATAAGAATAGCCATGTTCGTCCACACTCATATAGCAAAATACAAATCGTTATCCACGGAGCTTCACACGACCACGAATACCAGGACTTTCATAAAGAGCATATCAGCTTCAAGTTGCCTTTCCATCATGGTAAGTTAAGCCCTTCCGCAAATTTGTTGTTTCTTAATACTTATCTTATCAGGAATCTCTCGATAGCGCGTTACCCGAAGTGAGACAGGATATTGAACAAAATATTGCCGACCTGGATGATCTCTATAGCGCGTTACTCCAAACGAGATGGGATATTGAACAAAATATTTCCAACCTGAAAGAACCTTTTCAGCGCCTGATCAACGCCGAGACAATTGGTGACATACGAAAATATCTTCTGGACCTTTCCCCAGCATTCTGCGAGCTTCATTTGTTGTTTGATAGGCTGGGCGGTTTTACGTCGTGCGCTTTGGGAATGGATGTCGAAAAGCGAGAATTGGATGAGTTCAGATGCCATATAGCCGAGCTGTGGGGAGACTACGGACATGCACTGCAGATGGAGTATATATTCTCATTGTGTTGTAAATTGGGAGATGCTAAGCTTTGTCAAGGTGTAGAGTACCTTCAGGAAAAGATGTGTGATTTGCAAGTTGTTTGCGCAGAAAGCATGGAGCAACTGGAGGAAGATCTGTGATGTTCCTTAGTTGCATAATAATATTTTCAAGTTTTATCAATAAAATCTCAACTCATTCACAGTGATCCCAAATCCTCAAGGCAACACCCACCCAGAGCGCTGCTTGGTGGAAATGCTACTGGCGCATGTAAATGAATGATACCATACCCTCAGCCCTCCTGGGGTATGGATAACCATGCAAATATTGGCTCCAGCTGGGTTGGGTGAAGCGAAGATCCGAACCAATTGTTCATGGTCTCTTAGCTAACAAATTCCAGGGGCCCAATCTGAGTTCCCGGGCGGGAAGATGCGGCCAAGGTAAGGCTGGCTTGCACTCTGGACCTTGTTGTGTTTCTTGCTAGACTCCATAAAGAGAGGCCTTGGCCCCCCTTCCCTCATGTCTTATTCTGTGCATACACAATGCTAGCCGGCATGGGATCACAAAATCCAAAACAAGTGACCAATCTCAATCATCTCCTCGGCCCCCGTCTCAAAAGACTTTTGAGCTGGTTTCTAGTTTTTACATTTCCTTTTATCTTGCTTGGGGTTGCCTTCTGGACAGTTGTAATAGCCGCGGTGTGGTTACCTGTCAAGTTGGTCAATATATTTCTTCAGCGACAAAGAGCAAAGAGATATCGGGATTTAACAAGAGACAGTGCACTTCAGCACACGAACCTTTTTTGACCCTGCTTCAGCGAACCAGTTCTATCTTCCGATCAGACACGCTATTCTTTGCCAGTGGCGAGTTGTTGAGAATGGATATCCGATCTCTGTTGAATCCTGTAGATGAGGGAGAGAGGACGAGGATCGCTGCTTTTGCATCAACAAAGTTGAGGAACAGACCTCAGCCTCCGTTGATAACCCAGAGCCAGGTCAATTTCCCGCACAGGGTAAGACCAGGAAGCGTTTATCGACTCCAGATAAATGGAAATACTAATCGGAACATGAAGGCCAACATCACCGAACTACCCATCAGATTGAAACAGCCGATTGCGGGCCATCTGAACACGAAGGACATCGCACATCTGGCCCGTACCTGCAAATCCTTCCTCTCGATCGAGCTATGTCTTTATGAGACCGTCAACTTGGACGCCTCCAAGAAGGCATATTTCCATGTGTTAAAATTGTCGGCAATGATCAATAAAGATTCTACCCTGGCTGGACATATCAAAACGCTCGAGATCGGTGATCTGAGAAGAAAGGATACCAGACAGGTGGACGAATTGGATGAATTGGTGAAAGCGGCGGGATGGGAAACCAGCCCATCAGCGGATGAAAGCGTCGCACGCTTGCTATCTCAATTGAGCAGCCTTAAGTCATTTTGCCTTAACCGCCTTCATGGCGAGGTGCATCTAACCACCTTTAACTTTGCCACACTGCCAACCCTGACCAGACTCAAAGTGCCGGCGGAATCCCTAGTATCGCGTCCATCACCCCTAATCCATCATCTGCCTCCCACATTGGAATGTCTTTATGTGAAAGAGGCGAACGATGAAGTGAACGAAGACACCTTGCCCCAATTGCTGATAGACTATATCACCGCAGCTTCAGCAAGGTTAAAGCTAGTATCCATCCAATCATACGCCAAATATTGGAAAGACAGAGCCGCCTCGTTGAACAACGCGTGTAAAAATTGTGGAGTGAAACTAGGACTTCAATACCGAACAGGAATGCGTGAAGTCTGGAATTCCGGTTATATAGCGGTTCTGAAAACCCATGGAAGAAAGGGTCCTGGTGAGAGCATGCTGCTAAATAGTTGAAATTGACAAGTGAATATGGGATTCTGTCACTGGTTGTATTGTGGGTTGCAGGATGCTGGTTGATATAAAAGCTTCTCGAATCTCGAATCTAAATCACTTATATTCTTCATGATAGTCTTCAGGTGCAGTTATTGATTGATCGCCAGGCACATTCAGTTAACATCAATAAATTCTGTCTCTCCAGCGGGCCGGGCCGGCTCTATACGTCCTCAACTAATCCCTGAACCTACCCCTATCTCATTAGCCAACAAATCCCATGACCGGTGCGGTCTCTCGCAGTTGCTCCCATTGTCTTAGCGGGAACATTAGCGTAGGCCAGGTGGACTGAGGGTATATAAAGCTTGCCCTCCTACCGATATGCTTCTACCGCTCTATCTTCCCCGTCCCCTCACAAAGATCATCCCAGCTTTGGAAATTACCCCACACTTCCGTTCTGAGTACCGGGACAACTGGAACTCGTAAGATCAAGGAATCAAAGACGGCAGTGATTCAAGTTCTGCCACAGGTACAACAGAAACTCCCATCATTCGATTGATAATGGGTCGTAACTGACATCTGGACGCAGAAGCGAACGATAGTATTGACCAAGTAACAACCATGGCCGAGAGCATCCAGCAGCGGAGCTCTGTTGACTCTCGGGAAAACATCTCATCGAGCTCTACTGACTCAACGAGACCAACATCTCCGGTGCCGGCGACACGCATTTGGGAATTGGCAGCTCACGGTTCTGTATGCTGTGAGGAAAGCGCTGCCGGGGAAGCGGTCCATATCGTTCTCTCCAGGAATGCGCTGAATCTCCAACCTTCGAGATCTGTACCGGATTGGACTCAATCAATCTATACAGTTCTTGCAGAGAGCCGGTCAATAATGCCTTTTCAGCAGATGTATAAACCTCTTAGTCAAGAGGAGATGGGCTACATCCGGAAGAGGCTGGAAGAATATACAGATGAAGTGAGACGGCATATCCATAAATTAAATTGGTTTGACTGTGCAGTAATCCTCGCGGACGCCAGGACCCTATTTTCATATATTGCGCTCCTGGAGCCGATGATCAAAACCCAACAGGTACAGTTGCATTCCATACTTGAATTGAAGTGTGTTAACCGACACTGTGATATTAGACTGAGCCACGATCCAAGAAGAGAAGCATGCACCCCACTGGGACTGCGGGCCAGGAAAACTGTGGAAAGCGGCGGCGACGACATTAGGAACCAGCATGTAGATCTGCAGAGATTTCTGAGGAGAGGTGTAAATAGTTGAACTGGGATCCCTGGGCCGTTAAGAAAACGTTGCAGCTCAGCACCGCGTCCATGTCGTGCGGCTTCGGAAAACCACTCATGGGACGCCCGCTCCCGCATCCAAGACATCCTTGCCAGTGCAAGTTCTGTGAAACTCCAGAACAGTATTGGAGTTGGCAGAAGGGTGTGGATGTGAGTGCGGCGTGAAAGAATTTACCCCCCCCAGGTGATGTATTCACCGACATTCGAACGCTGAGCCGAGCAACCTGGATTATCAGTGTCAAATATGCAACACTTAAAGAAATCAAACTCACATCTCCACCCGCTCTTCATACTCTTCATCAATAAAACAATCCCTCAAAATCAACTGGGTTTTAACAAGGTTTCGAAGGGGTGGATATACTCTAAAACAAGGCCTCCGTTCTCAAAATAGGCCTTTCTTTTCCAAAAGTCCAGAAATCTAGTAGGTCCATCAGCTGGTGGTTCCGCCATGATTTCTGAATGGTGGCCGCATTCTTATTGGCAACGCTTCAAGCTGTGGATGGGGCCCATCTGAAATCTGCAACGGGGTTTTCACCCCGCAACAAATATGTTTCACTTTCTCAAATGATCAAAACTTTGATAGAACCGAGAATGCCAAAGTCTCTCATTAAGTGGGTTGTCTGTTTCATGTTAAAAAGAACTATTCAGTTGCTTTTTGATGGAATGAGACAGGATATAACAGATATTGAGATAGGAGTTCCTCAGGGTTCCCCAGTCTCACCCATTTTATTTGCTATATTTATCAAGTTTCTGTTTATTGATAGACAAATGGCAATTATAGTGAGAACTCCAAGCTATGTGGATGATTTAGGTCTAGTTGTAAGCTCAGAATCAGTTGTAAATAATTGCAATTTGATTGAGCAAGCAGCAACTGAAATGATTAAAAAAGCAAAATCAAAAAACATTGTTTTTTATATGGATAAAACTGAATTAATTCACTTTTATCCAAATTTCAGAGAAAGAGATACTGAAGTTAAGCTTTTAAATCATTCAGTTAAACCAAAAAATTCAGTTAGATGGCTTGGTGTCTGGTTAGATTCTCAGTTAAATTTTAAATCTCATGTTCAGATCAAAGTTGCAAGTGCTGAAAGAATCTTAAGCAGTATTTAAGACTTTCAAATGCTGAGAGAGGCTTGTCTTTTCAAGCAATGAGACAATTATATATTGCTTGTATAATCTCTGTTTCAGACTTTGCAGTTTAAATATGGTGGAAAAATTAAAAGAGTTTTGTAGAGAGGTTTCAAAAGCTTCAAAATTCAGCTTTAAAGAAAATATTGGGGGTATTTAAAACCTCTTCAATTAAAGCCATGGAGATTGAAGCCTCTCTACCACCACGACAAGTAAGATTTGATAAAATTTGTATGAATTATACTCTCAGAATTATAAAGTTATATCCCAATCATTCAATTATAAAAAGAGTCTCAACTTTTTTTCCAAGTGAATCAACTGGAGTAGATTTGAATTGGGAGTCATATTTTGATTGGAATGAAATAAATTCATCTAATAATTCAACATCTGTGCGAAGAAAGAAGATACCATCTCAGTTATTTAGAATTTGCTCTATGATTAAAGACAGTTTCTCTAGTTTAAATGTAGAGAAAGTGGTCTTTGAAAATCTCTCTCCTTGGAAGAAAGATCTTGTCAGTCTTATTGATTTAAATATTAGTCAACTTTCAAAAGAAGTTTAGACTGAACAACATCTAAATCGTCTAAAACAAATGAGAAACAAAGCAATTCTTATATATACTGATGGCTCGAAATGTGAGAAAACAGGCAATCTTGGAGCTGGAATAGCATATTCAGAAAATGATAAAAACTATATTCTTGATTCTTAGCAAATTGGAAAAGAGTCAGAAGTTTTTAATGCTGAATTATTTGCAATTTCAACAGCTTTCAAATTGGTTGAGATGAAGATTGAACAATGGAAAAGATTTGAGCATGTTTGGATATTCTTTGATAGTCAAGCTGGGCTTAAAAGACTTCAAAGTAATAAAATCAGCAGTGGACAGTCAATGCTAGAGCTGATTTTGAAAAGTCTTCAAAATATTCAAAGAAAAATCTCATTCAATTGTTCTGTTCATCTTCACTGGGCGCCTGCTCACATGGGTATATATGGCAATGAAATGGCTGATAAAGCTACAAAAAACGCAACTGAATTGGAAGTCTGCTTTCAAAGAATTGTAACATGAGCTTATATTAAGAGGAAAATAAGACAATCATATTTGCAAAAATGGCAAGATATCTGGTTTTTACAAAAAAAGAGTGTACATTATTCCACCTTTGAAATTAAGCCAAAATGGAAAGCTTGCTCAATAAAATGTAAAAAGAAACTTTTTGCTATAATAATGCAGCTAAAACTTAGACATGGTTATTTTAAATCATATTTAACAAAGATTAGAAATGATTTAAGTGATTTATATTCAAATTGTCAGTTATATGAAAACCCAGAGCATCTTCTTTTACTTTGTACAAAGCATACAGAGTTAAGATTGAGATTGAGAGAGAAGTTTGAATTGACACAATTAAAATTAAAACTTTTGTTCAATACAAAAACTGGAAATGAATTCTTGATTGAATATTTGAAAGAATCAAATATTGCTACAAGATTTCAATTAAATAGTTTGATCTGATAATGAATTCAATTTTTGTTTTTGTTTTTTTTTTTCTTTTGTTTCTATGTATTTGCTTTAATTTTTATTCTTGTTTTTATTTTTATTTTGTTACTTTTGCGTTGAAATTTATTTCATTTTGATTACTTTTGATTTTGACTTGTTTTGAAAAGTTTGATTTATGAATGCTTTCTTTTCTTTTAATAGCTGCTGTTTTTTATACTCTTTATTTCATTTGTTTTAAATTGAATGTATTGATCTGTTGTCATTCTTTTGACATTCTTTCTTAAATTGAATAGTTTGAATAGTTGTTTGATTCTGGGCTGGAATTCTGCTATTGCATGTATTAAATTGATTTTGTATATTAGCTTATTCTTAAGTTGAAAAATCCTGGAGTATTTCAGGTAGATGTCATAGTCACTGACTACATATATCTATAATGGAAGAATAATAATAATAACCTTGCATATTAGGAATGGAAAATGCATAGTGTCTGTTGTCATAAAAAATGAAGTACACTTTCAATCATCTATGAAAAGCTTGAGCTTCTCAAGTTGATCATCTGTAAATGCGGACCACTTGAATCCCACAGAGTAATCAGATTGTGGACAGAGTTCACAGAAAGAGATGCTGTTGTTTCAGACTTTATTAACATCTTCATTCAAAAACTTCAAATGAGTGGCTTTATACATAGCTAGAGTGTCTGCAGATGGGACAATAAATAGCTCAATATTTCAAATTACTCTCATTTTATTCTCACATTGAATTTTCTCATAGATTGTGTTGAATAAATCATCTCAAAATAATGAATTTTCAGAGACAGTTAAAATTGTGTCAAGTAAAGATTTGATAAGAGTGCTACTTCCATCTGTAATTCCAACGCACGCCTTTTTCATAAAGCTGTTTTTTGATTTAAGCACAGTTTGATAACGCGAATTCCTGTATGGAGCACTCTTTTCATCCCTTGGTTTTTGATCACTCAGTGTGGAAACAGAGTCAGATTTCAATTGTTTGCAGTGAAAAGAAGATAACTTCTTTCTTGCAAGTAGAAAATCTATGTTATCTTACCTGAAATATAATTTGAGTCAATGTTCTCATTGAATTCAATAGTTGATTGAATTAATGTCGTTCTTGTAGATATAGTTTAGTAACTCTTGATCACATGTGACTTCAATAGCAGAGCTTTCAACAGCAGCAGATGCAAGACTCATTCATCATTATTTAATGAGAAAATGAAGCAGATCTTCAGATTCTCATGATCATTTCTGTTTCTGATTTTTAATGTAAGAGATGGGCTACAAGAGTAATTACAAGAGTAGTGTGAAGTACGCACAAAGGATATTAAGAAGGTAGCAATCTCTATTGTTCAAAGCTAATCGCTGATCTCCTAAAATCCACGGATATCAGCGAGCATTATATAGATAATATTGCCATCGCCACGTATCTATTTCCTAATATAAATATCTCCGTTGCGCCTATTACATTTAACTAGCAGCGGTGTGGTTGAATTTTGTGGTAACTCAATTTTGAGTTAGTTTCATAGTGCAGTGGGAAGAGAGGAAACATATCACTGTTTCAGAGATATCACTATTTGAAGAGAGATATGCTTGTAGAGAGGCGAGCAGACTTTGAGAAGTCTTAACTTTAAATTAATTTCATGATGTAGTATAACAAAAGGAAAGTCATATGCCTTCTCTTTAAAATTATTGTTTATCAGAAAGAGATATAAGTAGTTTTGTTTGATTTTTCTATTCTTCAATTGAATATGCTTATGAAAGTCACTGCGATATGAGCTTCTGTGAACAGATTCTTGTGGTCATTTTCTGACTCCTTGAGGTCACTTTCCTATCAATGATCAGTCAAAGTAGATAGTAATGAATGTGAGTAACACATCTTGATTTTGATGGCAGGTCATGATGACAGAAAGGAGAAGAGTAGAAGATAGTTTTAAATTGCTACAGAACAGAGGATTGTGTTGACAGAGAGAGTTTTTAAACAGGAAATTAATGAGAGTCAATCATTGAGTGGAAATGTACAATGAAACACTTTTTTCCCAAAGGGTAATTTTGAATATATTTTATCATATGCCTTACATTATCAATTGCATTAGCTCTGTTCTTTGAAGTCATTGCTTACTGCACTTCCTTCTTTAATCGGAGAAAGCCTAGTGTAATTTTGACCAGTCATTGAAAGACAGACTAGTGCAACTGAATCATATGATCTATTTTTGACTGTTATCATAACTCTGTGTGTATTGCCCCTCACCTTCCCCCTCATCCTCTCCTCACCATTAATTTCCAACGGCTCAGACGCGGGCCGACTTTATGCTGATGAGCAGGGTAAATGATATAATCTGTTCACATAAGCCTACCAAAACTCATGTATATTTAATGGCCCATGCTCATTACATTCTACTACATTACACATATATTTCACGCGCTGCAGCAATGGAACATCACATCACCACTGAACCACACTCTCTGACTGAAGTGGATTTCAACAACAAACACCTTCCCAAGATCAATGAAAAGGTCAAGCAATTGAAGGTGGATGACTTGACACAAGCCGACAAAGACAATTTGAAGAGTTGTTTAAGTTTCATTTGAAAGGAGTCCGACGAGCATTCTCTGAGACAGAGAACATCAGTGACTACATGACGACAGAACTGAGCCCATTGAATGTATAGAGCTATTCAAAAGATTGACAACCATTTATTTCTCACTGTTTTATTGGCAATACCGCCAACTGAATGTGGGAAAATACATTTTAACAACATGACAGAATATTTGCTCAAGCTTGAAAATTACAGATCATATTATATGAATCTAAGTCTTACAACAAAGCAGTTTTTCAAGTCAACAGCTGCAGAACAAGACTTGATTGGTAATAACTGTTATCAAATCTTCATAAAGACTCTGTTCCCTCAGAGTTTATTCTTTAATTCAATTAAATTTAATGTTTTGATGCTGATTTCTTCAATAGAAGAATGTTGATGTGAGTAAGAATATACCTCTTTTTGCATGATGATGCTGATATCAGATAGAAATCAAGTTTGCATATTCACTAATTCAATCAGATAACATCTCATCTTTCATTCAGACAATGCTGAAAGGCATATATAGTAGCAAACAATAAATGACAGAGTAAATGCAGAGTGGGAAGACATCTGACTGTGTGACAATATTTATCCCAACAGGCGAGAAGAATGGGTTGTATAACATTGTCATTAATTGCAAAGTTTTGATGAAAATAATTCACAAATTTCAACTCTCAGATCTCAGACTCAAGTGAATTTAATCTGGCAACTCAGCTCTTCACAACTGTGTTATACCAGAAATATCAAATGTTCTCAGATTCTGATCAGTATATCCCTCATCATCATCTATGACACTCACAAACCCAGCAAAAAAAACATCCTTACAACTACCCACGAACGTAGGGGTACATTTGAATTTTCCAGTTTTCCAACTGTTTTTCGTATAATTTTAACCCTCCAACCCGTTCAATATCATCGCACGCCCTCTGCGATCTCTCTACATGTGTGTACTGCACAGGTTGAGTGGTCATGGAGCCCTCAACGCCCTCCCGTCCGCCCAAGGACATCGACACGGCCTTAAGGATCCGCGCCAATATATCTATATTAGAATATATTATGAAATTCCGCCCAACATCGAGTTTTCAAACATAAGGGGGTATTTTGACATTCTGAACAATCAGAATTTGATCTCTCTGTCTGTTTACCTTCCTGCTGGCCAATCTTTCGTTTATACTGACACCAGGCACAAACACACTGTTTTGAAAGAGGAATTTGTTGATGATTTAGATCAGGATTTGATCGTTTGATAGGAAGATTATCATGAATCTTAGGTGCAAATTCAAAGAGCTGTTGATAAAGCTTCTCATGAAAGCTTATATGAGAAGGAAGATCCTTTGCCGGAATCCCTTGCTGCTTCATATATATATATATTGAAGCCGGTATGCATTGACAGCCGCGGAATCGATAAGCCAGTAGAGAATAGGAAGCCAGGTTTGATAGGTGACTCTATGACTAGTATATGCTGCCCGGTATTGATTTGCTAGGTCTACCCCATTCATATTATGATTATAATCATCTATAATCAATGGGATTTTCAGCTTCTTTTGTGGTTGACCTTCAAAGACTTTTCTAACAATATTGGCATTGGTTGAGAGTTCCCCTGGGCATTTACGAGTACGTTCAATAACTGCGTCCAATGAATGAATCGTAGTTAGTGCCAATACCATATTATTATCTTGCCAGGCAAGACAGAGAACATTCTCTTTTTCAATGGCATGCAGGGTATTCCAGGGTATGGAATTTGAATGCTCTCGAAGCTCGCCTAGTACTGCTGGAACCTGGTTTGAACGAGTGGTTCCACATACTCCATACCCCTGTTGACGTAGTTCTTTGAATATAGGAACTGATGTAAAGTAGTTATCCATATAAATTGAATAGGATGTGACCGGCTGTGCGATAGAGATTTGATTAGGGGTGGCATTCGGCGTGGCATTCGGGGGGTTGATATTCGGCGTGGTATTCGGGTTGATATTAGGGCCGATATTAGGGGTGATATTAGGGGTGATATTAGGGTCGGTATTAGGGGTGGCATTCGGCGTGGCATTCAGCGTATTCGGTGTGGATACCATAGGAAGCCGGTTCACCAGATTCACCACCATAGATCCGGTTTTTGTTAATGTAGGGAATTGAAACATAGGCATTATATAAGAGGCGCTCGCGATCGGCCTTAGGGTTACCAAGACCCGAGTTTTCGTCCGCGACTACCCACGGCGGCGCTTCCCTCTCCTAACAGATATGTTGTTTGCACATAATCAATTAAATCACGTTGACGTTGACAAGTACAACTGTTTTGTTGATCTCACCAATAACCTGCTCCCATCAGGTCCAGAATCAAGATGCCATTCGTCGTGATTTCAAAGCAGCACAAATGCGAGTCCTGTCGCGCGACCTATAAACGCAGACATACCTGTTTTGGGAGTTCACATAGACGACCCAGAAGCACTCGCGCAATTGAAAACAGGATCAAAACCCGATGGTCAGATCTGTGATCAAGGTCATGAAGGTGATTGTAAGTCCACTTTCCCGTCCATATTCACGCACTTACTGATGGATTTTTCAAGACCAAAGGCAAAGTTCGTCGGGCAATAGATTCATCGCGCCGCCAGATCTGGAAATGCTCTCCGGAGAAATCTCAGTCTTGCCCCGGAATGAAATGTTAAGCAGCGGGCGCCGTCCAGACAGAACCTGGCCAAGCGAGGAACCATGGTTCTCTTTCAATAACCTAAACGGTGCCCGAGTCGAAAATTCCCCAGAGCGTGAATCGAATGTGCTTAGACTTGCAGTTTCACAGGACTTTGAGAAGATGTTGGTAAACAGCATGGCAAATTATTTCACACAACATGGCGTCCCAATGACCAGCCGAGTTGACTTTGTCAATTCTCTGCTAGCGCCATCGAATGCTGCATTTTTGTACATCAGCAGCCAAGAGTGGAGTTTTGCTTCGGCCGAGCAACTTTTGCGTCTACAGGCTAGGATCACTCACCGACAGAGCATTTTGATGCGGCTCAAAGGTGACATCAAGGGCTCCTTAAGTTATTCTTATCGAGCCTGAATACTGGATCTAATGTTTCCGCATGGTGCGAGGACCTTGCGGCTCTGTATCTATCACAGGCGATGAACCACGTATATAACTTTAGTTTTGTTGAATCACATAGAGAAGTTAGAAAATGGACCTATTGCAGACCTTCCAGGAGGGCAGGAACGCCTGCTTTGGGACCTGATACTCTGTGTCGGCCGCATCATGCGGGGGGAGGGACGGTTCAAAGAGGCAAAGATATGCTTCGACACTTGTCTTTGGACTCCGGGGCTGCGCGAATCTAAACGTTTCCTTGTTCAGTCAGCCCTTGCCGATCTTTACTGTGAGCTGGACTATCTACAGATGGAGAAGCAGGCTTTTTATCTCTCCCGGGCAAAGGCAATGGTGGAACCGGAAATTGAAAGGTTAAGACTATTGTCTGGTCAGCACCTCGAAGGATTTCGGCGCTTACTTCTTTCCCTGGTGGAGGTTAAAATCAGGCAGGGATATTATTGGGACTCCGACCTCTTGACCAGAGAGCTGATAACGATTTATGACAACCTGCGGGAACCGGACATAGTGGATCGGCTTGGCCATGTCAGGGCACTCATCGCCTTTGCGCGTGTCGCTCCATCGCCCGAGGATGCATTGGAGAGGTGGAAAGATGTCTTACTCTGGAATAGATTCTACAATCCTTTGGAGGAAGAAGTTTTCACCTGCGGTGTGGTCTACCTTTTTCTTTGGTTCAAGCTCGGTGATATTGACAAGAGCACGGAATGCTTCCAAAACGCAATGCAAGTGATTGAGAGAAAACAGCGTCAGTTTTTGATCCCAGGGATCGGCACCTATCTCTTTCATGATGTGTGTTCAGGTACAATCTACAATATGGTGGTTGGGAGATCCCACAGCAGCCTTACAAAGTCGATTCCAGCGATGTCCGATCTTGTCCAATCACATATTGCAGTCCCCTCTCCAACAGCCACCGCGCCAGACACAGTAAGACAAACCGGTTAACGACCAGATACAGCATCACTCTCGGGTTTGAATGATGAGCGAGATCTCGATCGGCGGCGTTTGCCCGGTAGAATAAGAAGATACTCATGGCCATCCACCAAGTCCCCAAGTGGCCACTGCCAGATTTGCCGAACTATTTCCAAAGCTTCCAGTGGCTCCTCATGGTCCACAAAGAATCCAGTATCAACTCCACAAACAAGTCCTGTTGAATCTTTGGTTTTGAAGAGGGTACCACACTGCCTTGCTTTTCTAATGTAGGGTATTGGTGAAGATTGCATAATTGCTTCCGCGTTCTCCCTGGCAAAGTCGAGCGGCAC